AGTATTTATGATATGTGATAAAATATTTTGATGGCAATTCAATATATTCATTAGAAGAAGAGATTAGCCGTTTACATACAATTGTTATTTAGATTAATTGTTTCTGATATCACAAGTTGTTTTTTTGCTTAGTAAGATCGTTTCTATCTCACGTTCAAGTGACAAGCACTCTTCTCTTCTCTCGTCGCACCATTGATCTAGTCAGATTCTTAACATGTCCTTGAGAGAACATTTGACACGTCATCTTCGTCTTCATTAAAATTCAATATATATATTTTGAAAAATAACAACAACAGTTGAGTATCAGATTATGGCAACAGTTTTTTATTTTTTTTGCAGAATATAAGATGAAAATGAAAATTAGACTATTAGCATACATATCACACTTGAAAAGACAGAATTGTGAATATATATAAATTTTTCCCAACAGACAAAAATTTGTTGATGGATAATTTCAATGTCCAATGGAGGGAAAAATGAAAGTACTAAAATCTATGACAAAATATTTTCTATACTAGTAACAAAAATAAAACTCGGATTTTTGACTTCAAAATGACAGTCATTACTCGAACTAGAAATATTGTTGAAATGAACTTTTTTTCTGCAGAATTAGGGGAGAAATTTGTTCAGTTTTACTTATTTCAAGTTTATTTTCAACAGAGACTTTTTGTTTTCTTACAATTTTTTATTTAAAAGTTTTTTCATTGATAAATACTCTTTTATTTGTTTGATTTATTTTAACAGAATCCTCTATTCTTTAATGTTCAAGGTTCAATCTATTAAAATAAAATTCTGAAAAAGAAGACACACTTATTATATGAGTAAACATTTGTTTTTTTATCAATGTGTGAAATTGATAGAAAACAATTTCTTTGCATTGATATATATATATATATATATATATGTATGTGTATATATGTATACACATATTCTCTTTTTTTATTCTTTTCTTCATACTCTAATTGAATATATACATCTAAAAGCTCATAAGTTAAAAAAAAAAAAATAGAGAAATAAAAGAAGAGAATCTTTCGTTTCTTTCTTCACAGAGGTGTGTAAATGTCTAATCAGAAATGACTGAGCATGGTCAAAAAAGATTTTATAGTTAACAATAATAAAATAGGTAAGTTTGATCATGATGATTAATGAAGGGAAGTAAGTCGATGGTACTTAAAATTTAAAATATCAGAAAAAAAAGAGTCACTCATCATGTCGTGTACGTGCATAACCTTTTGACCATCGTTTAATAAGTAGACAATCTAAGACGATTAGCTATTAGTCGATATTGAAGCAAATTGAGCCGATTATTAAGATAAATATACATAGATTAATTAGAATTAACAAAGATTTTTCTTTATGTCAGAAGAACGATGAGGATCATTCAGTGACTTCTTGCTAAAGAAAACAGACCGTAAGTGAAGTTTTAATAATTTTAGCCAGTATTTAACTTCTATGTCTAGTATATACTCTTAAATTGATTATATTAAAGGATGCTACATTATTGTTACACTACCTTTACAACAGTAACATGGCGAAGTATTATTGTTACTAATGACAGTATTATTTTTGAAAATACTCAAAATAACTCCAATAGTATTAAGAAATATTGAATAAGGAAGGTTTTCTTGAATTGTGCAAAACTTGCACTTATTACTAATAAAACTAACATTTATGAAACATTCAATCAAAGTAACAAACTCAAATCTGAACATTCTGGTATACATCTGACGAGGGAACATATATGGGTAAACGCGGGGGGGGGGGGGGGGGG